GTCATGCACAGCCAAGAAGGCACCGTCAATAGTCCACAAAGACAGAGGAGATTGACCATTACAACAGGTTAAGCCCTACTCATCTCGAAAGATGTACTAGGATCATCAGAGCCAATTGTGTACACTGCTCCTATGGTTTATAGTCCTTATCCACAAAAGAGTTGTTCCACCTCCAAAACAATAGACAAGCGTGCCATTCGCGCAAGCGCCGGTATTATGGCTGTATGTTGCAGCGCCCCTGCTTTAACTGCTCAGCCAATAAGCTCTGGAAAATTCATTTTAATTAATATAAACATAAAGCAAAGACAGAACAGGAGAACAGAAAATCTTTAATTTACTTAAGGCAGAAATTTTTAACTAATCAACCATACTAAATGGTGTACAAAGTAGATACAAATTAAAGAAATATTAAGCTTACTGCACGTTTCTTCCGTTTCATCAGTTCCATCACCGCAGTCATTGTCGCCATCGCACTTCCAGTCAATTCGTATGCAACGCCCATTTTTACAGGTAAATTCATTGGCCTCACAGTGTGTGCCAAGCGGCTTGTCAGGGTCTGGTATGCAGGTTCTGTTGTCTACACTTAACTGATAACCATCCATACATAGACACTTAACTCCTAAGGGTGTGTATGTGCAAAGCTGGTCACATCCTCCATTTTGCTCAGAGCAGTTATTGTCAACTGAAATGATTGATAATAATTGTACATAAAATTTTTAGTGGGGTAATTATTTTAAGTCGGCAATTTAGTCTGACAGTAGGCGGACTAAAAAAATCGGTCTGCAGAGGTATCGGTTTAATCGAGGTTTGTGTGATTTAGTCGTAGTGCTAGTCAAAGTTCATTTTAAGAATACGAAATGACGTAATTTTGAATTTCTAGCTCAAACTAAAATTAGTTAGTTTGTTTAAAGAATACTGGGGTTAGATTCAAAAGTCCTATTAAGAGTCAAAATATTTCCTTGTGACCAAAAACAAATCGTACCTCATGCTAAGAGAATAAAATAGTGAATTTGTTAATTGGAAATCTCAAGATTCCTATGCCTATAAAACAATATTAAACAAATACATAGTTTGTGTGAGCCATCAGTGGCGGATTCAAGGGGAAGGTTGTGTACAGTATATAGCCGGTCTGGCTTCCCCCCCACCTGACTTAAATATTTGAAAATTCAAAATAAAGAAAATCGTATTCAAATTTTGTCCAAAAGTGCCATTGCTGGCTTTCTGGTAGAGGTGCCATAATCATAAATTTTCTTACCTCAGCCCCAACCGTGGTGGGGCTAAAGTGGTATAAAACCTCCACCTGGGGGAAGTCCCACCCTCTATTTCAAATTCCTGGATCTACCACAGGCCAATATAACAAATATTTTTACCTGCAGGTGGTTGGAGTGATGACGAATATGCACGAATTCCAAATATGTCTTTACCCTCGTCCCTTAGCAGAAGAGGCGGACTTCCATTACTTCCTAGATCGTAACGATATATCTTGCCCGACCGCCTCTCAGTCCAAAAGAGCATGTCATTAAGAAATGTAAGACCAAATGGCGTCTCAAGCTTCGCTCCATTATATATGATCTGAAAAGATTGAACATTTTCGCTTCATTATATATGATCTGAAAAGATTGAACATTTTCGCTCCATTATATATGATCTGAAAAGATTAAACATTTTCAGATTTTTAGTACAATGGCTTGTGGAAGCGGTTTGGCACAGTAGTAACGTTGTTGTTTCTCAACCTCACAGTCAAGTTTTCAATCCCTCCGTGTGCATTTTGTTTGCATCCTTCAGTAAGGGTTATATCTACATCAAAGATCTTATAATTACAAGATAGCTCTCTCTGCAATTAATGCAAAAGTAATGTTCATTAGCATGTATATTCAGTCAAAAGAAGCATATAAATAGGTATGGTGTCCTAGTTGTTACCATAGTAGAATCTGCATGCAAAAATTGCGAGATGCGTTGATCTTTGAAAAGTAATCACAATACACTGCGTCGTTATAGATTTTGCATGCAGAAATTTTGAAGAACGCTATCTTATTATTATAAGACCTTTGATCTCCATTGCTTTTTTCTATGAACGGATGTTTGTTGGGGTTGCTTGCTCCTCACCAATACAATAGCAACACTTAAATATCTGGAACCAATTACGAGGGATATAAAAGCACTTTGAAAGCGAAAGGACAGGTGCTATACAACTGTTAACTAACATAGCGCAGAACGAAGCAATCAGTAGTCTGATGAGGCCAACACAAAAGTTCATCTGCCTTAACTTACATAAAAATAGTATATATGTACAATTTTACCATCTTATTCGCAGAAATATACCTTGTTTTTAGTTTTTAAATGATAAATCAAGAAATATATAGACATACATTAAAGAAATAGATAAGGGAGAAAATTATACTAATGTAACAACAATAGTCGTAATAATAACAAAAACAATAAAAACAACATAAAATAAATAATAAATAACATAAAAAAATGTTCTTATTTTCGGGGGGTGGGGGGGGTTGTGATTTGAGATTTTCCAAAATAAATTCATTCATTCATTTGTTTAAATTATAACTTTATATAATTTATCACAAGAGGTGTGCTCTATGATATGAAATAAAAATGTGGTAGTACAAACTAATACAATTAGTTATAATATGAATGGCTACGCTGACTGCTTGTCTAGAAACATCACAAGGGAGTAGGAAGGCAACATATGCTATTATTGGTTATATATCTATTGACCATGAGTAATAAAATATTATGCGAAGCCAGCTGTGTATAGTGCAAAAGTGCTACATTAAAGCGAAAATATCATCATCATTATTAATACGCCCATTTGGGAATAGAGCTTATTGACCATCTTTCTTCCTCCTGACTTAACATGTTCGATTTATCTTTATTTGCCATCATAATGTTTATGTATTCCTAGTAAAATAATCAATTTCATAAGTGGAAATTCAATAATTGAATTGATTACATCTGACATTCTCTTTACTCAAAAGCATAAATGGGTACCTGATATATTGTGAATAATTCATAATAACAATGGGTATATTGCCAACTAAAGCCAGTTCAGATTAGACTAATTTTGTCTTCTGGCAGTTAACCCTAGAAGAATAAATCCGGTAGTGGTCATGTATGTAAATCCGGAGGAGGTGCATGATGGGTATTAACACAAGGTACAGTAGAGGGCACCCTATTAGAAAATGAATAGAGTTCGGCCTCTATCAATAATCAGGTCGAAGACTAGGCCTACTGTCTTTTTGCCATTTCATCATTTCAATAAAATACGCAAAACAACGTATAAAAAAAGTCTCGTCCAGCCAACTACTGAAAATTAACATCCGTTGAATGTCCATCAAGCTACTGTATGTCCAATGTCATTCAACCCAACAAACAAACAAACATTTGGTACCATAAACAGATATCTCTACCATCTCCTCGAAGAACAAGAAGATTTTAATGTCATTTGCCATTTTCGCAGATTTTTAACAGCAAAGGCAACACCGCTGCACATTTCCCGATAACCAATTGCCCAAGCAGATAATTTAGTAAACATACTACAGTATAAGGCAATAAACACAAGCTCCTGCCGGGAGCCTATTTTTTCTAAGTGGAATGGTAAATACATCTTGGTCATATGGACCTTTCCCTATGTCCTGCTCCTTGAATATTATTGCTAAGGTCCCACAAAACAGCAGTGTAACAACATACATAAATGCATGTGTTTGTAGGACAACATGTGTGTCTGTGAGACACGTGTTGTAGTGGCGTATCTAGGAGCCTTGAAATGAGGGTGCTGATGGGGGGAGGGGACGCGAAGTGTGGGAGAGGGGCCTCAATGATCAGTTTAGGGGTGCTAATTGGCAAAATAAGGTGGTTTTAGGTGATTTTTAACTACTTGACTGTGATTGTTAAGGGTAGGGGGGGCGAGAGTAACTTTTTGTGGGCATGCCCCCAGCCGCGTACCCTAACCCCCTAGATGCGCCACTGCTGTGCTGACTGGTCAGTTGCTAACTTTGATTTACACAAGTGTCCATTGTACAGCTGTATTTAAAAAATCGCAATAGGTAGTACAGTACCAAGCTATAAGAACAGACAGTAAAATGTGGATACCTTCTGGAAAAAAAGTTCAGTAATGCATAGTTTAGTGCCAAGCGCTCAGGAAGTTTTAACCGAAATCACACAGTTCACATAGGACTTTTCTGCTTGATAAAAACCAAAATCGTGTTACAGGTATAAGGACACCAGGAAAAATAGATTGTAGTTCGGTGTACATTACCAGTCCCTTCTTGCGGTAAAGGGTAGCGCCACCATTGCAGACAGCACGTTATGCGGTCGCTTGTGTATAAAACATATTTACTAAAGCAATTTTGACTGATTCGAAAATGAATTGATATATATTCTAAAAAATGCTTCTTTGAAATTTCATAAGATATTGAGGTGAAGGCCACTTTGACAGATCTTTAATAAATCATTCAATCAGAACAGAGCAAGGATTTCCCGAGTTTTAAAGCTTAACTTAAATAAATACATTCCATAAATCAGGATAAACAACTAAATACTACCAATTGTCCCATTTAATAAAAAAAAAAAAAAAAACACTAAGTATGAAGTGAACACCCTCTATACCAATGCTACAAATAGATTACATTGCAACAATAAACAAAACTTTATTATATCATTCTAATCTATAGACTAACATACTGCTCTACCTTTTGTCAAATAATCACTGATACAACTAGATAATGATATAGCATACTCTGCATGTATTCAATGTGTTTTAATGGGATTTTATTTCATTCATTGAATAATGGGACATGGGCTTTAATTTGAGTCCTTTGGTGGCTGAGTTTTCTTAGCCTGCGTAGGCCTAGCCCAGCTAGGCTATGAGAGACATGTTATGATACTGTACATAGGCCTACATTATTAGGTAGCTCCCAATTGTAAGTGCTCACAGCAAAAGGATGAAATGAAATATGAAATAGTTTTTTTCAGATTTTACTATAGGACAGTATAGTATAGACAGTATCTTTAAGAAAATTATACCATTGGGGTTGAATTGTAATATCAATCATTATATACTGCATACATAGATTCTAAGCATCTGATTGGTTGAGAAAGTAGGCAATAGAAAGTGCTATTACCCTAAATGATAGTAATTTTTTTCACCTGTGCAATCTCTAGGCCGAATTGCTATGTATTAATTTATGACACGCACAAACGGTAAAAAAAAGAGATGCGACCTCTACAACGCTGAGAGATATTGGCATTTTAATCGCCCTACTTGGTGTGTACTATTTTCATTACTTTTTTAGGTCTCGTAGAATCTATGTACAAGGTATATAAAACAAATATTGACTTCTCTGGATTTGGGGAACGGTAAAATCTATTGACCCTCGGTGATGTTGAGACCGTAGCCTATCTTCCAAATGGCAATAGGCTACTGTCTCCACATAACCTCGGGGCAACAGGTTTCACCATTCCCCTCATATTAGCATCACCTTTAAAAACAGTCATAAAATTTTTTTTTTTAAATGGTAATATCAAAATTGCATTCTGTCAGCTTGGCCTAAATTATACTTCACTCTACAGTACCCTGGCTTGTGTACTTTAATTATACCATGCTTCCAGCAAGCCTTGTGTTTCAAGTTTAGAACTATCAAAGTTTATGTGACAAATTTATGTGATGTGCCTATATATAGGCATGAGGGTATCATATTACATTTAAACATGGGCATATTACATTTTATTGTCACATAAAATTTAAAAGTGTGTGGACAGATCAAGAGCTATACTGTAGTATTATCCTTTTTTTCTGATATGCATTTGATAATTCTTGAATTGGCAGTATATCAATCTGGTATTTCGATGAGATTTTGCATCAGGAAAACATCAAATGAGTAATGTTTTACCCTACCTGATGTGTTATCATACCAAATACTCAGTATTGATATTTTCCTGACGCAAACCACATCAAAATGGCATTTGCAGTACCTGCTGCTATTTGGGGATCGGATTCAACAATAGTCAAGAAGCGCAAGCTCGGTAGTTTTGTGGTTATGGTGCAGGCTAGTTATCTGGAGGTCGCGGGTTCGATTCCCACCTGAACCACTTGCAAATTTTTTTGCAAGTATTTGGGGACGTAATGAGTATTCGGTACAATAACACGTCAGGTAGGGTAAAACATCACTCCTATTATCTGGTATTATTGTTATTGCTAATACATCTTTTATAATATAAAAAAAATTACAAAATGATATCAACTTACTTCTCTTCCAGAGCCATCTGAACGTATCCTGCTAATCTCATCAAAGAATGCATCACACCAGTACAGATATTCAGTGGACTTATCGTGAGCGAGACCATTAGGCCACATAATTAACTCGCCTGACACTAGTGCCTCACGATTGGTACCATCAAGGTATGCACGCTCAATTTTGGCCGTTTGGAAACCGTAATCTGACCAATCGGTCCAGAACATGTACCTATGAATGACAAAAATAATTAATTAAATATTAGATTTGTAAATATTATTATTCATTCAGTATAATATATAATCAAAAAAATAAATATTTTCAACTGACTTGTTTATTTATTAAATATTATACAAAATTTTCATTGTCTAAGTGTGATTTTTTAGAAATTTTTAAATTAGCAAGTCTAAAGATTGTCTTCAATTATTTACAATTTACCAAAGTAAGAATTAATGACTAGTTAATTAACATTATCAACCTATTTTTAAAATACATTCACTATTTCAATAAAATGTACACTAATGTATATTTTTTGTACACTTCTACACTTCCAATAAATTGTATAGAAAAGTGCTACAGTACTAAATATACTGGTATTATCTACTTGATCCCTACAGGTCAAATCAATATAAAAGGTCAATTAAGCCCAACAGCTTATGCCTTTTGTATATGGTGTAATTCTTTAAACAATACTAGTATTTCCTTCTGGATCATCCAATTTTTCATTATTTTAAAGACAACACAAAACATTCTCCTTTTTTTAAATAATTTTAAGAGCATGTTTTTGTCTTTCTCTAAAGAGTACATACTATTGTTTAGAAAAATGGCCCCTCACCCGTCATCGGGATCCACTACAATAGCCCGTGGATGCGTTAAGTTTGTGGTGATCAGTGTGCTTCGAAGATCACCCGTCAGATTTGCCATGCTAATCCTCTTGAGTCCATCATCCGTCCAGTAAAGGTTACGCGCGACCCAGTCAACAGCGATTCCTTCACATTGGAAAACATCTACACACAGTATTAGAAAAAAAAAAGTAATTTTAAAAGGGACCTAGAAAGATGATTTTTTATTTCTAGAGGGGATTTTTGATATATCACTAGTAATAATAATAATAATAATATGTCTTTCTTATATAGCGCTTAATGCCTTAACAAAGCCTCTAAGCGCTTCACATTCCTACCCCTGTCATTGGATCAAACACATATGGAACACATTGAACACCAAATTAAATTATTAAGTTAAATTATACTATTATTCCATATTGCGGCTAGTAATCAGTGCAGTTGTGTTGAAACCTAATAGAATAAAAACTACATAGAAACAATGCAAAAAACAATTTTAAAGTTAATTCTGTTACTAATAACATATCGAAAATCCCCTCTAGAAAAAAAACACCATCTTTCTAGTTCCCTTTTAATAGCCATTGAAAATATCCCATTAATCACCATATGTTCACTAATCCATACTATATTAATACACGCCATAAAAATATGATGCTCTATTCAGTTGTGTACTTAACATAAACAATCTATTGTTACACATACTCCCTCCCAATTAACACTACAAAAAAAATGATTCCTGATTGATAATGTTACCATATAATAGTAACATTGATATTAACAAGGATTAAAATTTAAATAATTAGCATAAAATAAAGTCAACCAGTCTTTACCAGTATCATTTTAACCAGTGATCTTTAGTGGATCATTTTCAAAGCTATCTTTATATCATCAATTCACTAGGCCAACTTTAGTAGGGTGGTTCTTTACTAGGGTCATCTTTACTAAGACCATCTTTACCAAGCAATCTTTATCAAGGTGCATAATTTTTACCAGGATATTCTTGACTGAATTGATACTGTTTTTTTACCAGTGGGCGTCCCATCTATCTTTACTAGTGTCATTTTCATGGTACTGGATTTCCAATGTCAAACTTTACCAGTGTGACATCTTTATTATAAAGCCCAATATACAATAAACCACAATCAGACAACACACATCCACAGACACACACACACACACCCCCCTACACACACAGATACAAATACGGACAGCTCATCTTTATCTTATTCTTACATTGGTTAAGTAATTCTTCCGAGCTTTCTCCAACAAGTGCTCTAGATTGGATTTTGAATGCAACGCTGTCTGCATAATATATTTTTTCTTCCTTGATGTCAAAATCGATACCTCTAGGACTATCCATATTGAGCAACGGCTCAATGACATCATACTTATCATCAGGATTTATGGATATGCCTTTAATGGCACCAGGCATTCCCTTTCCGTATATCAGGAAGCCTTCCGTAACATTATGGCCTAGATAGATAACAAAATAGGTTAATAAATGTATTAAATATCATTCAGCGTATACTTTTTGCAACAAAAAAAAAACAATTCATAACAGCCTTGTAGAATATTTAAGAACCAAATTTACTTGGAAGGACAAATAATTCAATATTGAATTACATGCTGCAGTGTAATTAAATTTTAACAAGGCATTAGTGTCATCTCCTTAATAGTAAGCAACAGAAAGGTGCAACATGAATTCATCGTAATTTTTAATAGTGATTAATCTGTGTTCTTACGATACACTGAATATGAATATACTACATAATCACAGAATCCAGGGAACTTAGACCCTGGGAAAACAGTTGATAGGTCCCTTGATTACAGTCAAATCATCTTAATGAGCAAATTTTGAGGGGTTTCTTAACCCCGAGCTTCCAAGACACAGCATTTTTGAGTAGCAAATTTCATAAATAACTACTGTTCTGAAAACAAATTTTATTTTATTTTATTTTTTATTTTATTTATTTCCAGGCAAGACAATACAGTACAATAGATAAGAGAAACAAATGACAAAAACAAAAAGCCTGAGGATTACCTAAAAGCGAACTTAATCACTATCTAAAGGCTCTCCAAAACAAGAATTACAATTTCATTAATGTAAAAATATAATTTAATTAATTTAATATGATTTAATTTAAAAAATATTGCTTAAGTACATATTTAAATTTTGTGGAATTAATTGCACATTCCCTAATATTTGGAGGTATCATACAAAAATCTGCATAGACATTATATATTTTCTGCCAAGAAGTGGGGGAGCCTGGGCACCCGGCCTCAATTCCGCCGGACATGACACAGCCTGTCGAGATTTAACGTCGCATTGTTTCTCTCTGAGTTAAACGCAGGCATGACTAGTCATTAATCATCATAGGACTGCATTGGAGGGGGACAGTCACGATTCAAGACAACCAAATAAAGACTGGTTCAAAAGCTTGGTCCACGACACTATCAAAAACTGATGCCCATATATAGTCAGGATGTGCTTATATATATATACGGTACTGATGTGATGTCATCAAACCATATTTCGGCATGACATGACTTTGTCCAATAAAATTTGATAGTCAGGGCAGGCCTTAATTAGTGGTTAAAGTGGAGTAGTTAACTGTCAAGTGCATGGAACAAATAGATTATATTTCCTCCATGGTTTATTTCAAGGTAATTGTTCAACTTCCTTGTTTATATTACATAAACAATTTAGCCACTTGGGTTAAAAAAAACACATTTTTATTAAATTAACAGTATACCCACTTATCATTTCTTACACAGAATTATAAACAATATTTTTTTTAGATAGGTAAATTCATTGAAAGCAATGAATGAATACGTATTTACGTATTAGGTTGAAAACCTACTGAAATTACTCGAAGATATTTCTTTTTATTTTATGGAATCAAAGAAAACTAAAAACATTCTGGGTTTTCCCCTCCAAAAATCATTCAATAAATCTCTATTATTAATACTATTAATGTACATTTGCCCATTACTGTCTCTAAGGCAGCTCATCTTTCTTACCCCAGCATCATAAACAATTTTTTTTTTTGTAAATTCCAAGGAATCAAGTAAAAAATACATCTAAATCATTCAGGGTTTACTACTCCTCCAAAAATTGTTCAATAAATCTCTATTAATAACACCATTAACTTACGCGTGCAAGTACCATCGTCATTCAGATAAAATCCAATACTACAGCGACAGTAATCTTTCTTAAGTCCATCGATGATCAAACAGAAATGTTCACAGCCTCCATTGTCAACGGCACAATCATGGTCAACTAAAATTAATTAGAGCATGCAATAATAATAATAATAATAATAATAGACAGATTTATTTAGCGCAACGATACAAAGTCTATATGTAAGACAGCGAAAAAATGGCTAAAAAAGCAAGGAAAGAAACAAACCACAACAAGCTAGCACCCAAAATGAAGTACAGTATGGGGTTGCACAATTACAATTAATTCATTACAATGCGGTTTTGGAATGAGTACGTGTTCTGATTAATATGTTGAATAAATATAACATGCAATCAATTAATTAATTAATTGATTACAATACGAGTATGGTGATTCCGAAGAATGACAAACTTGAAGCCATATTAAGTGATTCTATGTTTCATTCTTTATTAGAAAATTGTCTCACGTTTGTCTTTCTTGGAGTCACCATACTCGTATTCTATTTGGGAATAATCAGTGAATCCTTTGGTTTAATTAATTACACTGACCAAAAAAATACTTTTTTGAAAGATCAGATGTTCTGATTACTAAAGTAGATTAAAGCCAGGCTCTGGACAAAAAATTCTGGTATGTACTGTTTATATTTCCATCCTGATCAGCAATGAGAGTTGAATAAATCAAAAATTAAAAATGAATAAACCACATCACACAGTGCCAATAATAAACAAAGGGCAGGAAAATCGTCATCATTAAGCCGAACACTTAGTGCGCTGGATAGTCACCGGCCGACGCGATTCTATAGAGAACGCAACGCCATGCTGCGCACGCAACAAATTGTTTTTAATGACGATTCATTTGGACAGCCACCGACAATCAGTAGACGGTGTCGTGTTGTCAAGCGCTGAAAGGGAGTTGGATATGTTGGTCGATGGTCGTACAACGCAGTGAATGCCCGGTTTTAGAGACGGCGCGTGAACTTACTAGGTGGCTGTAATGACGAGTGAAACACCTGTATTGCCGCACTCTGCTTTGAACCTTTGTTAAGTATCTCCGAGGTGTTGCTAAACGACTGGAACCTGTTCGTTTTCCTAATCTCAAACTGTTCCCTCCAGTTGGTGCTGTACATGTAATTTTCAAACACAGCTACACCATATGGATGATCAATCTATTGATAATACAATAGGTGTTCATGATAATAATAATATCATTTACAGTACATATTGCCATGGAATTGATTCAAGGCACTTGTGATGTTGTTATTAACCTTTGTCATAGAAATTGAAGTTGACAAACAAGCATGAATTCTCCACACCCAGGAGAGCGCACATAGTCATACCTCATTGTAAACAGACAAAACACATTCAATGCCACTTTATTATACTAGGTACCCTGTTGATTGGATTTTGAATGAATTTATTTGCTTCAAATACATAAAATACAATTAAACTGCTTGGAGGACACAAATTTAGGTAAAGTTCCTTGCCAGAAGACTCAATCAAATTTCGATGAGGAGGATTCGAACCCTGACTGCAATGTTGGGAGCCGAACCACAACTACACCAACCATACTAGAATAATGACATTACACAAACCTAAAATCAGCCTCATAATCAGTATTTCGTCAAATATCTATTGTTAATGTGCAGAGCATGGTGATCATTTCGATAAGCCCCACCCTTTATATATATTGCTGTTAAGGTTCTACAAACACAGCCATTCATATAAATCAAGGCAGTCATAAATCAGGTTATGGGATTTGCTCATTGCTGGACCCTAAATGTAAAATAACACATTCTGATTGGACAGTTGTTAAGTTTGAATAACATTCCAAAAAAGGCCCTTTGTTTGCGAGCCCTAAGAATATACATGAGTAACTATGTAAATCTACAATAGAGTGTCACCAAGAAAGTGTCTATAAGAGGATGTCTGCTTGTGACAGTAGAGCTCACCTTATCTGGACCGCTGATTATGGTGTACCTTAGGCCCTGGTTGCCGTCGTATGGTATGCTTTGAATGTGGTCCATGGAGGCATCTGTCCAATAGACTCTCCTTGTGAATATATCGAGGGTTAAGCACTGAGGAAGACTTATCTTTGTTTTAACAATGATTTCTGCACTACCATTCATTGAATACCTGATGATTTTCGGGTTCGTACTCCAATCCGAGACAAAGAAATACCTACGAAATGAATATGAAGCATTATGTAAATAATATCTAAATATATTTAGATTTACTTTGAAAAAACTAAAAAAATTCACATTCACTATTTTTTAATATAATCATTCGTTTAATTGTATGCTTTAAGCAGTAGATATAATTAACTTAATAGAACTAATAATTGTATTTAAGTTGTATTTTAACTGTTGTACAATGGTTGAGCTTGATTGTTAAGATATTAAAAATCAAATTTATACATGCATTAAACATGAAAATGTTTTAAACTTAATTTAACTGATTAAAGCTATGATGTTTACTTCAAATAAAATATTCTTGGTATTTTTTTTCTCTGGTACAGTAATAGTTCTTCATTGTATTTATGTTAATGCTGTACTTTAACAGTTGTACAATCTGCTGATTTTGATTACGATACTGAAAATCAAATTTATATAGTTCTGCAAATATATTCATCATATGCTATGTATTAAACATGAAAATGACTGATAATTTAATTAATGAAGCCATGGAATTTTTTTCAAATCAAATATTCTTGTTTTTTTTTCTCTGGTAACTTGTGCATTTCTGGACTGCCACTATCAGAAGCGCCTAGATTGTTCACTCGTTGGCTTTTTCCTGTCCCCAGCAACTTTCAGTAATTTTATCACACAGAATTCTGTATTTTGTATTTGAGACTTGGTTTTCTATTTTTAGCATTTTCTTTTATTATTAATTTAATTCCACATTTTCTGGTTGTTGATAACTTCTTACCAATTACTGTAGCTAGACCATTTTTAAATCTTTAAACGAGAACATAAACATTGACTGATCCTTTTTGATTTTCTAGACCGTAAATACAACAAATGACTTGTTCAAGACTAAGTAAAAAAAAAAATTCTTATCAAAATTTGATTTTAAAAAGGGAAACTTTTTTATGTTCTCACATTTTCCAGATGTATAGTACATCTGTATAATACCAAGTACAACTTATCTAACAGTATATTGGTTACAACCATCATTATCATGATGAAACACAGATGTAATTCTTATCCAGAATAACTTTTGACTTTGTCGTATCAGATGGCAAAAAAGTCTAATTTAGTAACAGGACTAAGTTCAGGCATGAACATCTCTAAGGCATGTATGTATGTTTATTCTATTTACATGGGCTGGACAAAGCATCTGATGAAATTATTAATGTTAATAATTATCAACAGGACCTCGTTTTTATCATTAGTTACTCTACATTTTTTCCTGCAATTTTCTAGTCACAAATGTTGTAGATAAAAGGGGCAAAAGCAAAATAATAACATATGAGATGTTTGTTGTGTTTTATCACATGCAACTGGCAATAGTGTACAATGTGGCACCCTTTAAATCTTGTAATGGCAGAAGATGAAGAACTCTGTCTACCACATAGAAGTGAATGTCATAAGGTTAACAATATTTCAAAGGTGTTTTGGAAACAGCAACGATTTTTCATGACCTCTGTATTCCATCATAATTTCATCATTTTAATAATGTACAGGCATTGAGATGGAACCACTTCACAGACAGAAAGGATAGAACGTTCTACATCCACTATTAATGATCAGTTGATTGCATCAGCAAATCTTTGAAGCATGGCCAATAATCCTCTACTTATTGTAAATATTGGCAAAGTGCCATGGGTGTGTGGGCCCTTTCCAATCATAATAATCAACACTACCATTATAATTTAATACAAAAATATAAGCCTGGTATACAGTATTAGGTTTAGTAGTTGAAATCATAAAAATCATTGACTACATCACAAAATTGAAAATGAACTATTTCACAGTTCACATTTAATGCACTGTTGAATTCAAGATAAAATCATACAATTAACATTGTCTGCAATTAATGATATTTGTCACTGGTAATAATTGCGAGCTTAGTGAGGCAAGAGAATTCCATGCAAATGAGCATGCACTGATGGACAAGTAAAATTCCAGTGTAAATGCTGACATCTATCTCAATTTTAACTGCCAATCATAGCATAAAACATGACCTAATTTGTATCATATTTGCAAATTACCGACTTAACAAAGCACTATAGAGCAGACTACTCATTCTAACTTTTGTGTTCAACACTTTTATTTTAATACAAAATAATGATCAGATCTGCATTTTAGGAAATATAGTTGTTTCAGTCAATTTCTTCAAACTGGAATTAGTCAATTGGCCAAGTGGTTAAGACAGGGGCAGCACACCTACTGTATAGCCATAACATCGGTGCTGGTTCGAGTAGCACGTTCCTCTACAATTCTGGTAGTGGAACAAGTATTCAGAAAAGGACACTTGTTAAACCACAGGCCCTTTGTACTCGTTTTTGTATAATAAATCTTCTTTCAACACTTATTAAGAACCTTTGGGCAAAAAAAAATAAATAAAATGGCGAAAATAAATGCACAATACTCATGTGAGTGTGACAGATTAAAATACAGTGCTTTTTTGTTATTTACAAAGAGCCCTCTATTTATGCATATTTTTTTCTTCTATATACATACCATGTACCTATTGTATTCTTTATCCAAGTGCATACTTAATAAAAGGTACAGATAGCTGTTCCACACCTGTCTCTTATA